AACAATATAACCTGATCTCTCATTTGAAATAGAAATCAAAAGAACCCTCAATTGTCGAGTAAATCACTAAAAAAACGAGCGATCTTCACAACTAACGTTCATGATAGGCGTTCGACTCCGCAGCCTTTAAATGTAGGGGAACCGTTGAATCCAATGGTATGTGCCACTGATGAGGTTTGCAAGAATAAAGCGGAACGTACGTTCAGCACTAGAGATGCCATATTAGACCTCTGAAAGGCTCAAAATATGCTATGAGACTTCTGTGATTGTTTTTGTAATCCAGAATTGGAAGAGAAGAAATCAGTGAGAAGAAAAACTCGTCAAGTGTTGAATGAGAAAGAGAAATGGCAGTGTGATCACATAACGAAAAATCCACAAAATGCGCCAATTACTCAGTTGCATTAGCTTGAATTGGGCTTTTGCTGTCTCATTTGAATTGGTTTAGCATAAAGCTTTGATTTTCCCGAAGATAAAGAAATTCATAATCGCAAAATATCATCGTTAAAAGTGTGCTTTTGTGAGAAAATCGACCAAGGAAGATAGTTATTGATAAAAACGAGGCACAACGTTCGGTGCGAAGTGTTCGTAGCAGAAATTCTGGAATAAAATCACATCCGTTATGCACAATTATTTTCATTACCATTACCTATCGCACAGTTATCAAATCACCTTTGTTGATGGGGAGACTGACTGACAGTGAAAGACCTGCGCAGAATTTCGCTAAAACATTATGAAATTAAAGAAGAATAAACAGCACAGTGATACCTCTAATAAGAACATGTAAGAGATAAGTCACGTCAAATATGCTCAAAGAAAAAGATCTACAGCAAAAAAATAAAATTTGTTGTGTGGCACAAAATACTCTGGTTCGTTGGAATTTTCAGTGCAACGAGATGAGAAAGTAAGGTGGATGTTCTGAAGAACGCGTTTGAATTCGCATTGGGCAGAGGAAGCCTTAGTGGCGCTTCAAATATTCGAAAGTTCTGATAAAATTGAATGCTTATGGAAAATCATCAAATTCTCGCTATGCTATATGCGAGCAAAATAAAATTTGCAGTTGAACATTTTGTATTGTGAAGTTCCGTTTCCCACTTGCGCATAAATTGAAAACACCACACTGATCCAACTCATTTCTGTGAATGTTTGGAAAATGATAAGAAAATAGGCGCCTGTATAGCATTAGACTTAACGGCTCAAAACATGTTACATCCTTGTCAGATTAAATCATTTTAAGCGGGTCTATAGAACAGAGGTCCAAAGTAGAGGTATGATTCATTGTGAAAGCCACAAGCTCGACTGCCGATCTCCACAATGTCAGGTAATTCAATCATTTGACTTGGAGTGATTTATTATTCGGTGTCGGTTCCTTTATAGAGAATTACTTAGTCTCAGGAACCAGCTTAACCGAGGGAGGGTGCTACTGATGTGTCCCAATGGACGAAACAGGCGCCAGTATGGCACTAGACTTGAAGGCTCAATACATGTTATATCCTTATCAGTCATATTGTTAATAGAGGTTGCTGCTTGTAGACGAACATATTGATAAGCTGTTAACAATATTGGCATTATGTAAAATATGAAATGAAAGTATGCATATTTCAAAAATAGTTGAAAATGCGTTTTCTCAAAAATGTAGCTCTCATAATAGAAAGTAAGAATTTCTGCGACAATTGAGCGTTCTTTTCTCTTAGACTACGTTTATAGAAGTCTCTCTAGTAATAGTAACTCAAATTTTCGTGATAAGAAGGTTTTCGTAGTACAAAGTTCTACTATATGCGTATCGACAAATCAGCTGTAGATTGAAGGGATGGATTGATTGCGGCAGCGCAAAATATTATTTTTCTCTAGTAACACAGACAGAAGATGTCCTTTCTAAAAGCCAACTTTGATTCTGAAATTCCCATTTTCCCAAGCAATCGTATGAATGCTAATAATCCAGTGGAACGGGTCTTTCATAGAAAAAGACAAGGCCTCACGAACTCAATCCTTGAAATGCTAGTGTATGCGAAAGAGATTATTTTCAAAAGTAAGACTTTTTAAAGCAGTTGGACGTTGATATTGCCAAGAACAAGTTTGCAAAAGTTCGTTCAACGATAGCTCAGCTTATTTCTAGCGAAAAAGTTAATGAAACCGAAATTAAACTATATAATCTCAACAAATCCGCTATGATTAGAAAAAATAGACTGCGATTGCAAAGCATTTCTATTATTTATTAGTAAAACGTACGACGGAAATGTTTACACACAACAAGTTCATTAAGTTGAGTTCAGAGTCAAAAATTTACAAGCTATCGATTAGTTACAGAAATATCAAAGTTGTACAAAAAGTTTCAATAACAGCCGAAAATACGCTCCTCTATGCGATGTGGGTTTTTTCTATTTAAAAAGGCAAGATTTTAGGAAACTTAGCATTAATTTTGCCATTTAGAGCCATTGCCATCAAAAAGCCATTTAGAGACCTCGGCCGTGTAAGTAAAACGATTTCAATGCAAGACGTAATTTCATTTTTGTTGTTACAACGTATAATGAAGTAGAATCATAATCATTATTGAAGTCGTCAGCTTTTGAGCTTTCGAATATATTTTAGAAGTCTGCGGAAAATTTTCTGTCCATTGAGACAGGTTTCTAAGCATTCGTGTTGTGTACCAGCACTGGCACACGCTGCTCCAAATGGGCTAATTAAACCAAAAACACGAATCAGATAAAAATAATTTATTTGGCTAACGCTCCGACGTCTTTGTCTTCTTCAGAGCCGATGCTTCGAATCGATTGTCCACAGCCCTTCATTTCCGCTGTGGTTTTCAATTTCGTTTCGTTCAAGTCGAACATTCTTTGGTGGAGCACCGCTCAAATGAGGAAACTCGCTCGGCGATGTCCTTATATAGAGGACTGTTGTTGATGATGCTGACGTCGAAACGTTCATCAACTTCTTGCTTTTGCCCCAATCATCAAAGAATAAGTGATCTGCTAGTTTTGCCGAGGCCGAAGAAAAGTCGCTTTCAAATTCATTATGGTGCTCATAAAGAAAAAACGTTTCTCTGCAATTGAACATTGAGCAACGACAGGTCATTAGAGGATTATACCTCTATTTCGAGAATTTTATTGAGACCACGCTCAAATTTCAAAACATCTCATGATTATTCTATAAGCCAACATGTCATGTGGTCTCTTGATGTGTTCTTGTACAGCCCGACACACGCGTCTCGACCCTGACAGCCTCCTGACTCGCACAGATCCCCCCGTCCTCAGCCAATCCTCTCGCGAGTTCCTGCTCTCCCTATAATGAGGTAATCGACGACGAACAATTTACACAACCGTCGTCAAGTGAAAAGTCACAGGATCGGTAATTTCAGCACACTTGACGGCGATTGTGTAAATCGTTCGCTTTAGCCTACCTCTTTATAGGGAGAGTAGGGACTTCCGAGAGGATTGGCTGAGGACGAGGGGATCTGTGCTACTGGGGAGGCTGTCAGGGTAGAGACGCGTGTGTCGAGATGTACAAGAGGCCATTAACAAATCACATAACATCTTGGCTCAAATAATAATTATGAGATATTAGACGATTTCCTCCGGAACTTTCTTATCTCAGATTTCCGCAGCCAAGAAATTTTTCAAAGCAAACTGTTCCTTTCCTCATTCTAAAAACACATGTTAAATTTGCAGTCTTCGCTCAAATATCCCTGCTTATAGCTATTTTATACTTAAGAGGGGACTGCACAGAACTATAGCATTGCTATTCCAACATTTTCGCTAGTGAATAGCGTGAAACTACCCCTTTAATTTAAAATACTGCCTAAGATATGAAAACTTATACATCAGATTTCGAAGGGCTGTTTGCTCATGACCGCTTTTCAGTCTATTCAATAACTTTTGTGAAAATTCTGTCACTGTGTGAGTTGCATCACAAAGGTAAGCGTAGTAGTGGGTGTCGCCAGAATTTCCACGCATTTTCAATTTATCGTTAATGACTTTGTCAATAGCTAAAAAGTAATAAGTTCTATTTTATGTACTTTTATTTTCAACAGCGAGGTGTGCAGAACGTTTTCACAAGAGCGCTGAGATACGAGGAAACACGGAAACTCAAGTATCTTCCAGACCACTATTACTCTTTCCGGGATTTCACTCAATGCCTCACTGCACCATCGAAGATTTTGCTTTGTCCTTCTCTCTGCCTTGCTGCCTTGCTTTAGAGCTCAGGAAGGGCAATCGATGGCTTGAAGCCACTGAAGGCTGAAAGGATTGCTTGTTTCACAGCGTTTTCCACTTATGTTTCTGCATGCCTGTTTCGCGGGTGACAAATCGAAAGAACCGCAAGCGTTCTGGATTATCTGCTTTGTAATGAAGTTTTATGAGCACCAAATGGAACAGTAGGTTAGAATAGTATTATAGTAGCAGTTTCATGTTGATAACGTGATTTGCTAGTACAAAAAATCGTCATAACATTCTCTTTTCACTTTCAGAATTATTGTACTATGTCAGCGAAAGTCGTCCTATTCAGGAAAAGTTCAGTGGCAAATCTCCAGGTGCGAATCGTGCGAGTACGTGGTGTCTTTTCTATAACTCTTCAATCATATACTCAGGTGATATAGCACTAGGCCGCTGATGATCACAGTCTTTCACTGAGATAAAAAATAATCCACCACAGATTTTTCACACTTTTCTAGTTTACTACCGTATTCGATAATTACATCAAGAAGAGCTTTAACTCAAGCAGAAACAACAATCAGACATATACCATCGAGAAAACCTCACACGGAATTACAAATGAAGGAGAATAACTGCTTTCACTGGGCATCCATAATACTGTCAAGGTTACTTTTTTAAGTGCAATATTGTATAGTTTTGAAGAAAATGTCTTTGGAATCATGCCACCGTCATGCTATCCAAGTCTGGAAATTTTAGCTTGGTTTGAAGTCGGTATAGCATCGAATTCAGATTTGCATATCGAACTGATAGGATCAAGATGTTCATCTCAGAAGAGTGAGTGGTGCACAAAAGGGCAATTTTAGTTAGGAATTGAACCTACACTACACCCTCATGAAAAAGGCGTATCACCACTGTACCACCAAAATCACGTTTGCAATGATTCTTTTTTTGATGTGAACTATTGTGGGTTTAGCACTTGTCTGGGGTTGCATTTTTACTACTCAATCTTCTAAGATGAATGTTTCAACGTCATACAGTCTTTGAAAGCAATAGAATCTAAAAAATATGGATATTTATAGAAAAGCTGTTATCTCAATCGGGTTTGATGTTCAGATGTGTTTAACAGACGAAACCCTTTGAGGATCAGCTGCTGACGGTTTTCGACAGTTCACATCGCAAAAAGAGTGATCGCAAAGAAGCTACCTTGGTAGTGAGCAGCGCAAGCCTTCGGCAAAGGTGAACGTGGCTTGAACTCCCATCTGATCAACTCTTTGGTACTTTCACGCGTTCAGTAGCTTAAAATAGATATCTCAACATCATAGCACTCTGCTAGAAAGCAGATATCGAAAAAGCTGAGGTGATGGCCGTCGAACTCTACAGTACGGAAGACTCTATCGCGGGTATCACCTTTGTGCTGTATATCGCAGTTCAATAGTCAGGCCACTGGTAGACACATTGTGACGATAAACTATCGGGAATAAATCAACCATAGGCACATTTGGCAATATATTCTTTTTGCCACGGATCTACCTCATTGAGGGATCCCGTCCAGTTAGTCGCGAGGGCACGTGGCGCGTCCCCAGGTAATGAATAGGGAATAAAACGCGAACCAAATACAACCTTGTGATTCCCAAAGACGCAGGTGGATTCAAGAAATGATCTCCCTGTTTCCGAAGCGCCGATTTGACAAAACTTTACTTTCACGCGACTAATCGGCCAAAAGCCTGCAATCAAGCGGCTGAGAAGTACATGGGAGGCGGTTAGAAAGCGCCTCCAACGAATAAGCTCCCCTCGCTCCTCAGAGAGACTGGCAAACTACTCGTGAGTACCCAGTCCCTCGTTTAGAGCTTAGCAAGCTATGCGTTTGGTACTAAATTACTAGAAACACTAACAAATAGGGGCTTCATTCTCCTGGCCCTGAAAAAGCCCCTAGCACGACAGCGCCAGCTAGGACGAGTACGGAGAGGGTGCTAAGTCTCAGGACCAAACTAGGCTGCCAAGATCAAAACGGACTAAAGTGACGATCTGTACCTACAATGTAAGAACACATGCTCACGATTTCGCTGTAGATGGTGGATTAATTCAAGCAAGAAGATAAGGTACGATATCATTGGCCTGGCTAAGAATAGATTACGCCAACCTTTTCAAGCTGTTTATGACACCGTGGGAGAACTGTTTCCTGGAACTTGCGACAGCAGAGGTGTCGGCGTTGGCGTCCTCGTCAAATTAAATTTGACCGTGAACATTGATTCATTTGAATAACTAACAACCCTTATCGTACGATTATGGTTGAATCAATATGGTTCTAGTGCCCACTTTGACCATCTTCGTTGCTTACGCACCAACATCAAGCTATGACAAAGACAAAGTCGAAGCGTTCTATATGGACCTCGAAAAATTCTTCAGATAAGATCATACATTCTTCAAAGTTAGTGTCAGAGATTTTAATGCAAAAATTGGACCTAGAAGGAACGTCGCATTGGGACCCACGGACTAGAATGGAATGAACAGGGTGAGAGACTATCTGAGTTTATCATGGCGACCCAAACCATTAATGGTAACTCGCAAAATCCAAAAGTCTGCACTCTCAGTGATGGACGTGGGAGTCTCTCCAATGGAGAGTACCATAACGAAATAGACCACATCATAGTAAATCGAAGGTTTTGCCTGACCGACGTCGCTGTTGTTGCTAAGTTCTACACGGGATCAGACCACCGCCTCCTTCGCGCAACGTTCCGATTTTCGAGGAGAGGAGAGAAAGCCGCTAAAGTCAAACAACGAAGTCCCAGAACTACCATAAACTGGGATGTATTAAAATCATTAGTCGGCTCTTGGGAAGATACCGTTGTCGACAACATCGACGAAGAATACGATCGACTCGTTGAATCATCTTCACGTTAGCGCTACGAAAGCCGAGAGTCCTAAGGCCATAAAGAGTGGCTTGTCTCCGCAGACAGTCGAGCTGATACGTCAACGTGGAATTCGCACGAGCTACAGAGAACCAAACCTTAAGTCCGAACTGCAGAAACGCTGCAGAGAAGCGATAAAAGAAGACCTCAAAGAGAGAAGAGCAGCAGTTATGGCAGAAGCAGCAGAAGCTGTGAAGAGCATTCGCTAAGCCCAGCGAGGCTTCTCCAGTTATATGACCGAGATGATTGCACTCCGATGACCTGACGGGACACTTACAGCTTCGAGAAGGGCTGTGGAGAAAATCATCCCACTAATACTACTCGGATCTCTTCGCTAGCCACGTCCTCTTACCGTTGTATAAATTGAAAGAGGACTAATATGTCGTTCCACTGGTCCTCCTTTCCGAAATCCGACATGCTATATCGTCGGTGAAGAACAGAACAACAGCCGGTCCAGACAGGATTAGACCAGAACACATGAAGAACTGCCGCCAGTTCTCATCAACACCGTGGCTCGGCTGCTTCACTCACTACCCGTGAGAATGCAAGATTCCTATTCAGTGGAAAACCAGCAAGACCGAATTGTTGTTCAAAAAGGGAGACCTTCACGACATAGGCAATTATCGCCCAATATGCTTGCTGTCCGTTGTCTACAAACTCTTTAGTCGAGTCATCCTAAACAGGATTGACAGAACGCTGGACGAAGGACAACCATGTGAACAAGCAGGGTTCCGAAAAGGATTCAGTACCATAGACCACATCCACACGATTGAAAACTCATTGAAGTTTCACGAGAGTACAAGCAACCACTCTGTCTCACTTTCATCGAATTGAAGAAAGCCTTCGATTCAGTGGAAACAGAAGCGGTTATAGGAGGCTCTGGATAACCAGGGCGTCCCTACTCGGTACATAATGCTCCTTCGTGAGCTTAATAAAGATTTCACGACCAAAATATCCCTATTCTACAACAATATTACCATTGACGTATGAAGAGGAGTTTGACAAGGCGATACAATTACGAAAAATTATTCACTGACCACCCTCCAAAATGTCATGCAAGCATTATAATGGGACGATATGGGAGCGAAAATTGACGGTCTGCCGACAAATGAACCATCTTCGCTTTCGCGATATCGTTCATGTAACAAAAGGATCTGCCAAGGCGGAACGAATGCTGAGCGATTTCGATAATGCCTATGGAGATATTGGTCTTCAACTGTATCTAACGAAAACGATGTTCATGAGGAGCGGATGGGTTTTTAATGTCCCATTCACGCTCAACGGAGCGACAGTCTGCGAATGCTCCAGTTACGTCTATCTAGGTCGTGAAATCAACATGATGAACGACCTAGTTCCAGAGTTGAGCAGAAGGAAACGAGCGGCTCGGGGAACGTTTAAGAGCATTGAAGATGTAGTGATGAGGACAAAGAACATCCGACTCCGTGCCCACCTTTTCGACTCGACAATTGTCCATGCCCTAACGTATGCAGCAGAAACCTGGTTGCATTTAAGGAGGATGAAAGATCACTTGGCTTTATTGAACGCGCAGTCGAGCAGTACCTACGTCAACGATCGAAATTAGAGACGCCTTTATACACGCCATGATATCGAAAATAAGGTGGGCCGGGCACGTGATGCTCTTCAACGACAACCGATGGACGAGAACCGTTACCGACTGGATTCCTCGACTCATGAAGCGCTCCTCAGGAAGACCACCGATCCGTCGGTCCGCTATTTTCACAAAGAATATAGAAGAAAATATGATGTTCAGCGAATCCCTAGAGCGAGCAGGACCCACTGGGCTACACTTGCACGCGATAGCGAAAAATGGAAGTATTGCTAGTACCCGCTTGAATCACTCAATGATAGCGGAACGACAGGTGGTACAAGTGATATTTTTCTTGTAGCGGACTGTGACGTAAACAAGAAAAAGTAAGACTCTCGAAAAAAAAATGAAAAAACAATGGTATTGAGAATTTTTACAACTGTCAGGATGAAGTATTGTCCCAACAATTTCACTTCCGATGACTACAGTCTAACTCGTCCGACTAAGCCTTACAATATCTCACGGTGAAGAAGATATCTAGAAAAATCAAATAGAGCATAGCAAAGTAGATGGCTACGAAATTGCTATAATTATCTAGAATGGTTCAGCACTGGCCATGTACGTCATTAACGCGGAACTACATCATTAAGACCGACGAAGCACTGGGAAATAGGCGGCAATTTCACAAAGATTCTGTAAAGTGTGGTGAGAGTGTGAGATGCTTGTTAAGTTTGCACAGGTAAAGGCGTTTGTTTCTGTTAAGGATAAGGCATAAGAAAATTCAAGTGATAGCTAGGAATTCCTTGGCAAGCACTCAAATTTTCTTCGCAAGCCCTTCTGCAACTTCAGAAAAGAATCATAATAGCTCACTGGAGTCAAAGTGCGGATAGCTTCAAAAGTTCGTTTGATTATAATGCAGAGTAGGTAATGTGGAAGATGGAAGTGTGGACAGTGTCCTTCCGTTGTCATACCAGTCTACTTTCTCCAGAAATGATCATTTGTGATATCCAAGCGAATTGTCCTTGTTAATTTTTTTTGAATTCTCACATAAACATGAAGGTTTTCTTGATATGGACGTCAAGATTTTTTCGAACTTTTCTGAGTTGGAAAACCTCAGTGGATCAGTAAATATAGCACATACAGTTCATCGCATTATAAATGCCTTTATCTTTTTCAGAGAATATATCAGCTCGCGAACTGATACTTCATCGATTTTCAAGGTCAACGTGAACAGAAATCAAACCAATATACAGTCCATCTCAAATAGCTCAGTTGAGATCACGTTTTAGCTGACGATTCCAGATGCCGAAAAACAAGTGCGATCCAAACGGACCTGATGCCAATATACGAACGGCTCTATTCACTATACGTTGCCACATTTCTCTCGACAATTCGACATGACGAAAATATTGGTCTACCCAGAAATTTTTAGAGATAGTCTGCCTGAAGAGAAGCATCACAAGCCTTTAGA